GCCAAAAAGGCCCACCCGTTCTTCTGCCAGGCCACCAGGCCGCATCCAGGTCTTCCATGCAGCCGACCTAGTCAGGTCCCTCGTTCCCTACCAGGTCTTCCACCCGGCCGCTCCTTCTGGGAAGGACCTCCGCCGGGCCATAGAGCCACCAGGCCGCGTCCGAGTCCTCCGGCTAGGGTCTCTAGGCCACAGGCCGCACCCAGGCCTCACCCAGGTCGTCGGGCCGCGGTACCCGCCAAGGCCGCCCGGCCGCCGATCTTCTGGGCCGCCCGGCCACTTTATGTTTTTTATTTTTATAGCCAAAAGTGTGTTGGCTCCTAGGCTCTTATAGAACTCATGAAGGCTCCAACATGGTGCTTTCCTGTGGTGGCCTCTCCTCTGTATAGCAGTCTTCCATCAGAAGTCAAATTAGCAGAAACCCTGAAATCTTTTTTGGGGGAAAGCTACCAGAATGGAGTCATTCTGCAGAGTCTTTGAAAACTCACATTGTCCTATTGATGCTACTGGTATGTGTTATGATGATTATTTCTTTCCTTCTATTTCTGCTATAATCAGCAGCACTGGCTTTTACTGTTTTTGTTTTAATATCCCTTATGAATGTAAACTGGCACAAATCATATGATTTTGGTGATGTATAAACAAAATAAATAAAATGCAAAATTACTGCCATGTTTCTATTTGAACCACAGCTCACCAGAAGAATCTGAACTTGTACAGATATAATTTAAAAAATGTCCATGAAATATTCATACAATTTGACTGTAATGAAACAGCAGCTTTTTTGACAATATGTTAACTTTCATACTCACCGCTAATGTTTATTGCTGGTAACACTATTGACATCTTTGGTCGCCTGGTCTTATTATGCGTGGTGGCAGGTAACAACAGGTGATCCTAAAAAATATATTACAGATATTAGGTTGTACAGGTGACTTTTAAACTGTGAAAAATTATGTAGAAAAAAATGAAAAATTAAAAGTAGTACAAGTCCTTATCTAAAGATGGATGAGGGGATAGATGGGGAACTCATCAAATTTGCAGACAACACCAAGTTGGCAGGAATAGCCAACACTTCAGAAGTCAGGCTTAAGATACAGAAGGATCTTGACAGACTTGAACATTGGGCACTATCTAACAAAATGAAATATAATAGTGAAAAAAGTAAGGTTCTACATTTAGACAATAAAAACCAATTGCACAGGTACAGTATAGGTCAGTGGTGGCGAACGTATGGCACAAGTGCCAGAGGCGGCACTCAGAGCCCTCTCTGTGGGCACGTGTGCTGCCGCTGCCAGCAGTTTGCGCAGGTCCATTAGGCTGCCGCTGCCGCCCGGAACAGCAGCCCCAGCCAGCACAAAGGAGGCGAAGTGGCCAGCTAGCAAGCTCGAGTAGAGGTGGTAGAGCACACCCACACCCAGCAAGCCAAAGGCCACCCCGAGCAAGGAAAGACGGATCCCCATCGGCACCATGGCCCCCCAGGCCCTGCTAGAATTGCATGCCTCCCCCATCTATGCTGGGCCTCCTGCCCACCACCCCACTTGCCAGAGACCCCCTGGATCTTCCCCAACCCTGCCTGGCCCCCACAGGCATCTCCCCCATGAGCAACATCGAGGTGGCCATGCCCACCCTAGCCAGCCCCCCTCCAGTCTGCCGTGACAAGCGCAGCCATGCCCATCCAGTGGGTCACACCCCCTCCGAGGGCACCACAATGCTGATGTGGCCCTGGCACTTTGTGATAAATAAGTGGGTTTTGGGTTGTGGTTTGGGCACTCGGTCTCTAAAAAGTTCGCCATCACTGGTATAGGTGATACCTTGCTCAGTAGTAGTAACTGTGAGAGGGATCTCACTTAAATATGAGCCAGCAGTGTGCTGCAGCTGCCAAAAAAAGCCAACACAGTGCTAGGCTGCATTAACAGAGGGATAGAATCAATATTACGTGAAATGTTAATACCACTTTACAATGCCTTGGTAAGGCCACACTTGGAATACTGCATTCAGTTTTGGTCACCATGATGTAAAAAAGATGTTGAGACTCTAGAAAGAGTACAAAGAAGAGCAACAAAGATGATTAGGGGACTGGAGGCTAAAACATATAAGGAACGATTGCTGGAATTGGGTATGTCTAGTTTAATGAAGAGAAGGATGAGGGGTGACATGACAGCACTGTTCCAATATCTCAGGGGCTGCCACAAAGAAGAGGGAGTCAAGCTATTCTCCAAAGCACCTGAAGGCAGGACAAGAAGCAACGGATGGAAACTAACCAAAGAGAGAAACAACCTAGAACTAAGAAGAAATTTCCTGACAGTTAGAACAATTAATCAGTGGAACAACCTGCCTCCAGAAGCTGTGAATGCTCCAATATTGGAAGTTTTTAAGAAGAGACTGGACAGCCATTTGTCCGAAATGGTATAGGGTTTCCTGTCTGAGCAGGGGGTTGCACTAGATGACCTCCAAGATCCCTTCCAACTTCTTCTTATTGTTATTGTTATCCTTTGACACACTACTGTATCTCCTTATAGATTCCAAGATCTAACATTAAGAATAAATCCCACACCAATTCAGCATGTAAATTACATTTGAAATAAGAATTCAAACTGCTTCCATAAAAATATCATAGCTGAATATAGCCATCAGGAAAGACTGAACTAGCTTATTTCTGCCTCTTTTGGATTATATTTTTGAATTATAGTATTAGTGAAGTGTTCTTGTATTTTTTAAACCAACCCTAATATTAAGAGTGTCATATTCCTATTTGGATCACAAAACAAAACTCTTGCCACAAATAGTTCACAATCTGAATGTCTACTTTTTATGTACCAGATCTTCACCCCTCATTACTATTAATTCATGATTCTATTTGTTTTTAATTGAAACAATAGCCCAATTATTGTTTCTGGCTTCCATGTTGATGTGAGAATTTAGTATTTAATTTTTAACTACCTCTCACTTTTGAATTAATTGCAGTTTATTCAATATTCTTTATTCCCTGCTTCTTTTACTTTTACATTATAAAAAGGTAAGGTAAAGGAGTCCCTGTGGATTTTATTCCGCTAGTCGTTGTTGACTACAGAGGGCGGTGCTCATCTCCATTTCAAGGCCATTGAGCCAGTGCTGTCCAAAGATATTTCCGCAGTCATGTGGCCAATATGACATCATGGAGTGATACCTATTTACCTACTTGCATTTGCATGCTTTCAAACTATTAGGTTGGCAGGAGCCGGGCAGGATGGGAGCTTATCCCATCGCGTGGCGAATTGAGTCTTAAACCTGGGCTGCTGGCTTTCCAGCCAACAAGCCCAGCATCTTAACAGCTGAGCCACCATGCCACCCTGTTACATTATAATGTTCTAAATCATTAATTTTAACTTACAACTTACATCAATCTATAAATTGTATAAATATAATTTAATTTATATTAACAGCCATCTTAAGCTTTCCAGATAGCATATAAGAGTTATTTTAACTAAAAATGTGGCTAATCAAAGAAATCACGCTACAAAATAGTGATTATTTAGCCTCAAGAATCTTTGAAGCTAAATGATCAAAGGAAGGAGTGCCAATCTTGAAAACAAATGTGGCATGAAGTTTAACGGAGCCTTGCTTAATAGGAACTGTCTGTTGCTCTTCCTTGTTGAGATGCTGCTGTGGAAATAGTTCTACAATATGTAGCCTTTGCTATTGTCCTTCAGCAGCTAACAACATCTATACTTCAGCTTGATTAAAGAAACATACTGCCTTGGACTGAGTTTAGAATGTATAGAGCATCGGGCTCAGAAGATTACTGAACCAGAGGATAGCCATGACAAAAACTGGAGCACAATCTAATCTGGCAACATCATATTTCCAGTCAGATAGTTTTCCAGCCATTATGCCAGGTACTGAATTTTAGGATTTCTCTTGGATTGTCATTCCATCACAGTAAAAGTGTTGGCTCAGAGCTACAAAGTCATCTGCTCTGGAGTCTTACTTACTTTGATTTATTTTGTCTTTAGATGACACTTCACATGAAAAGAGCAAATGGTAGATTTTTAAGGATCATATTTCAATTTTTACAATATATATATCTTACTATTATTAACAATAAATGTAGGTATTTTGTATCTCAAATACTAAACTGCCAATTAATAATGATTTACTTTCTTTCTCATACTACTTTGGCAGTAACTGAGAAGCTCAATGAAATATGAGCTTTTTTTCTTATAATTCAAAACCATGGATGAAGAAAGGATTCAAATTTTTTTTTTACAGATAGTTTAATTCACCCATATGTATTAGGCCACATTAACTATCAAATGTGCCACATCAAAATGCACAAAATTATGGGGACAGTAATGTATTTTATTTTGACAAATTCAGTTACTTAAATGAGTCTGTTGCTTTAACCTGACAGATAAAGACTCTGTTGTGTATAAATTAATACAGCTGCGATATGACATCCTTTCTTTCTCTACTCTAAGGGTGTCAAACTGCCAGCCCATGGGCCGGATGCGTCATGGCGAAACCATTGTCGGCAATGGAAAAAAAGTCGTGATACGTCGTGACACATCACGTGACATTGCGAGTTTGACACCCCTGCTCTACTCTTAACATCAAATTGCTTGATACAACTTTTTCAAAATCACTTAGTAAAAATAACCATAAAGACACACAAAGTATTTAGTGACTTCCTTCTAAGTAAATCATCATGGAAAAAATCTATCTATGTGGGTCAAGTTGAAAATGACTTGATGGCACATAATCATCTCTTTAATATTTAGGAAGACAGATGCTTCCCTCGATAATTTCCCTTTAGCATTAGGAAGTGGCACAGTAAAGACTGCATGTATGAGAAAAATGCCAAACTGTTTGTTTAAGTGCAGCTTTTCCAAATCTTCTACTGGCCACTTCCTATTATTTACTGAAGTTGGAAATTAATACTGTGTCGCATTAACACATTTCACATTTGTGTAGATGGACAGAGAAGACAAAAAAAAAATCCCAGAATTTCAGATTTCTAGCTTAGTTTCAAAGTTATCTACATCTTGTCTATGAGGTCTTGTGAAAAATATGTTTTGAAGAAGTGTGCATGAAAAGAGGGCACAAAGGGAGCTAGTTAGGAAGTTTGACTTCATTAGCAAGGAATTTACCCACTCTAGAGGTTAGATGTTTTCTCTTGCAGATTATGAGGAAGCCAAGGGAAAGCTTTCTATGCCAGTACTTATGAAATCAACTTTCTTTGTATTACATAGATTGCTCAACAATATTTCATATTATTCAGTTACCATGTATTGTGCCTCTCCATTATTCCTAGCACAGTCCTATTGTGCTAACTGTTCCTCAGTTATCATTTAAATGCAGATTCACAAATACCTTTTCATTTTTTGTAAAAAAAAATCCATATAAGTCTATTCACTTTATAAATGAATCTGAAAATTTTGGAGGTAAGTACATCTAATCCAAATATTTTCTCCTCACTAAAAAACAATCCTCCCAGGCTCTGTATTTTGGGTAGGGATACTTTAATCCCCTAATTTAGTTTTTTAAAATATATAGAAGCTATCAACTCCCATAATCTCAATCAGCATGACTGAATGTTTCACACGATTTATGAGAAATATATTCTTAACCTGTCTGATGGATGCCAGATTTAGAATGGCTATAATACTATTGGACAGCAAAGAAACCAAACAAATTAATCATCAAAATTAATCATCAAACAAATTAATCTGAAAGAGACTGACTGGCCCAAAGTCACCCATTTGGCGTTTGTACTGAAGGAAAGCCTAGGACTGACAGTCTTCTGACTTCTAGGCCAGCACCTTAATCACTATACCAAACTGGCACTCAAATTATCCTACTTCAGATACATTATGTGAAGATCTATCTCCCTGGAGAAGGCTTTAACGATGGCAAAG